CAACCCACTTTTATCAATCGAAAGGAGACTGCGACCACACCAGAGGCCACAACATCTTGGTCTTCATATAGTACTCAATAGTTTATGAAGCCTTTCATGTCATACGAGAATTAACTTCTCCTCAAAGGACTATCTCGAAATACGCTTTACGAATAAGCCTAATTTATATCCACCTTACAGATCAAAATAAGGATTTTATGTCATTAAGAAAAGAAATATCATTCTTGGATTTGTTTGCGTTGTATATTTGAATGATACAAAAGAACAGATTGTGGCGTGTACTCCTAGATGGTGCGATGGACCTGAAGTTTTGTGAAAAAATGAGGAGTGCTAAATCGATGTGTACAGAGGGTTGGAGCTACTTCTCTACCAATACATCTAATCTATAGAGCGCACTATACAAATTGTTCGCCCATTAGACTTGTTCACTTTCTAGAGCCTAAGAACAGCCTGTCTCCTGCAAAAAAATGTTTGCCCAGCTTCGCCCTAGTTACAGAAATTTATCACTTTTAGTGTTAAGGTATTGAACGTCCTGAGGAGGCAGCAAGAACATACCTGACGTGTAAGTTGTAAATGACATACTGAAAAAAAGATATTGTTGTAGAGACCTTCAATTCGTATGAAATTGCATGAGGAAGGGATTTATATGACGATCTCACCATAAGACAATGGCTGATTTCCTTTTTACTGTAGCCGTTTGGCTTTAAAACGACGTTTAATTCGATGCATTATACGAAACCTCCTTACTCGTTTCGGATGAAAGCTGATTAACATTGAGACTTTTATAAGAATTAGTTCCAGCTCAGATGGTGCGATCATATGATGGACGATAGATCAGCCCGTTTTCACCCGAAAAGAGGGAGGAGGTCTCTTGAACTGAGTCAACCTGAACGTCGTATTAAAGCCAAACAGCTGCAGTAAAACGGGGATCGGCCCTCGGCTTCTGGTGAGATCGGCCTTTGAATCCCTTCATAATACATTTTAATATGAAATCAAAGAATCCCCATAAATAGCATCTTAGGAGATTCATCAAATCGTATCTGATAAAAGATAGTTTTGCCTAGCACATGCTTAGCCCCCATCGTGTGAGCCACTTACTCAGACTTCCAACATACCCGTTCCAGCCAAAAGGGAATGGACCTCAAACTTTGAGCCCTCCTCTCCGATGACTGAGAAGACGACGGTGTACATCAGTATGCAGCTGGCGGGCATATCAAAGACTTTGGAGTCATTCCAAGTAATTTGGAATCCACGTTGGCCTTGCAACCTTCGCACTTGAACGTTTGTCGGAGCTGAAGGATCTGTTAAATTAAAGTTCAATGACAAATAAGCGCCCGAATGGGATAAAAGCTAAAGTGCTTCTTGATAAATGAAGAGGAAATACGGTGATTAGTTTCCTTCAAAAGAATGTGGTACTTCGACATATGTCGCAGCACTTGTCTCAAAAACTCATCAGAACAATATATTTGACAAAGAATTCAAAATTTGCGCCTTATGACCTTGACCAACATTAATGCATAAATACATTCAATTAATTTGGCTAAGAAAAAAATATCTATACTTAGACAACTTGAATAGAGTCTGAAACCTGTTATGAGCATCTAACTCATGGCCAGTGTGGGTTGATCTGAGGATAAAGTCTAAGAGAGAATAAGAGGAAGAATCTATTTTTGTCTCACTTATCTATTAGTATTATTTTTCATAATTAAGTAGAGTTTCAGGCTTATCAGTAAATCATTAATATGATATGTATTCACCCAATTTCGTTTAAGGTGATCAAGGACTGGTAGTAGAATTTTCCCACAATCATATGAGTTGAGCTGACGTTTCCATTGAATTTCACAGAGCCTTGTTTTCCCAAAAATTGTTCTCATCCAGGCTGAAATTGACTACAGTTTTCACCTCGCATAAGAAAGGAACGAAGGATTGATGGGATTGCCGATGAAGCAAATGTATTTTTGGTATAAAAATCGACTACATTACTTATGTTTCGTATATAAGTGGAGTTTCGAGTTTCGAGTTTCAATAAATTCAATGGCACCATCAGCTCTATTCATAGCACACCAGTCCTTCATCAACTTAAACGAAATAGGGTGAGTACATTCAATGTTGGCTGTTTTGTTGATTTCTATCGCCTCCCTAACCTTTTTCTTACTGATATAGTTCCCATATTCAGCTAAGCATTTGGCATGAGACCAAGCTATCTGGTGTCTTGTGCGAGCCATGTGTTCGGTCAATTCCGATTTTTTGACCCACATACCTTTGTAGGCTGTTTTGTGTTCAGATGACCTCTTATGCATGTGCCTACAGGTATCTCCCACATAAGCCCTACCGCATGAACACAAAATCTTGTAACAGCCCGAACTGGTGAGAGAGTCGGAGTATTCTTCGAAAAGAAGGCAATACAACTGGTTTACAGGAGTCAAGAAAGTTAAACTCGTGGTTAGTTTTTCATCTTCAAAAAAACAGTGGAAGAAAAAATTCTGCAGGAAATTTAGTTTTGCAATATGAATTTTGCAACCCTATGCTGGAAAATATCTATACAGCATTGGATTTGGGATATTAACAGAAGTGTATAAGTAATTAGCCAATAAAATAATCATATATTTCTTCTATTACCAGCCTTTCTAGTCACAAACTACCTCGAATCGTTGACTGATAATTGTCCTTATTTATTTAAATGTGCAGCAGTCAAATATGGTAAACGTACGAGGTAAAGGTTGCAAAGTATATAGACAAAAGAAGACAGAATAGGAAAGATTTAATTACTTGGATATGGTAAAGGCAACTGTAGTGACTGATATTCCCCCTTTCCGACCAGGTTGCTAGCCACGACACGGATGAAATAAGTGTTTATGCCGCAAATTTCGTTGAGGATGTACTGTAGCTCGGCTGTAACATACTTCTGCCAAAACGGTTTTTCGACAGATCCGGAGACCCGAATCTCGTAGAAGTCGGCGGGGTTTAATTCGTTATCTATTGGCTGACGCCAAGAGATGAGAATTCCGTCCATCGACTCCGATTTAGAGAGGGCCTCGACCTTCATCGGAGCTTGGCAAAACAAGCATTGCTGTTAATTGTCACTAGTCATCTTTAGTTAAAAAGCTTAAGTAGTATGATGGCTTTAAACATGTGATTAATAGAATTATTTCGAAGTTTAAGTGTCTAAGGCCTGAACAGCGAATTGAGACTGCTGGAAAATATTAAACGCTACAACAGTAAAGGGTTAGCATTAGATTTTTATAAATAATCAAACTAAAAAATAATGGAGGATCGTGGTTTATTCGCGTTTTAACGGTTCAAATGCCGATTTGCTAGTCTCAATATCATTAAGAGAATCTACCCAGACAAAA